AATCAGAACCAGGAGGAGGGTCTTAGCGCTGTCAATTAGCCTCATTCACTCACTGCTAAACGTGCTAATGGGGGAGAAACAACTTATCATTACAAGAAACCGTTTATCTGCCATCATTGGTAGCTATGCTAACTAAACTGAGCATTCACAGGTTGAATCTGCACAGCTCTGTGCTATGCTAGCTGCAGCACGACACAAATCGAGGGGGAGGAAGGATGAGCAGCACCACATGAGATGGTGATTGACGGCACTGACTGGTTGTTTCTAGCACTGGGAGAAAGCAGAGGAAATAGATTTTTCACAGACTACCTCTCATACCATACTGTCACAACATAATGACAGTTTTAACAAATACGTGAAAAAAAATATTTATATAAAAGTTACTGCAGCTTTAATTTCACTCAGGAGAGGACGGGTCAGGAGGGACGTGGGTTAGAGCTGCTGCTGACTGACTCATCTGTTAAGTGGTAAAAGGTACAAGGGACAAGTTAAATATATGAATATGTTGGTAATTTTTTTCCTTAACTCATTAAATGCTGGTGAAGTGGAGGTAATCAGTAGTCTGTAGCTAAGCTAATTATCCTAAATGGTTGATAATCTCATACAGTCTATCCACCTCTCGGAGAAAAAATGAGCTATAAATTGACACTCTTGCCTTTTTCTCTCTCTCCCTCTCTCTATTTTTTATTTTTATTTTTTTGAAAACCTGATTTTATAACTTTTCTTAGCAGCATAGTAACTGCCACAATCGTTCGTGTCTTCCACTGTCTGCAGCAGAACAGCGTCACGGTGAAACGCTCCAAGCAGGAATGAACCATTTAACGCAGCTGGGGGTGGTTCAGGGCAAATATGGATGTGTGTTTTTCGGTCTGGGAGTGGGAACATTAAATTTTTACTGCTAAAAACAATCTTCAAAAATACAATATGATTAATTTTGTAATTGACGGGGCCCTGTTTTTTTAATTTTTATTTCTATGAACAATAAATAAATAAATAAATTGTGAAGGGCCCTCTGTTGGTCAGGGCCCCTTGAATTGTCATCACTTTCCCCCATATACTGCGCCCCTGCATGTAAGTAACTAAAGTAGTCCAGGTTTTGTCCCAGAAACAAAGCAACCAAAACTAAGTGTCAGAAACTGGAAGATCATGTTTTACTTTTTCATGAAAACACTAACCATGGCCTGCCTCAAAAGTAAGGTTTCATATTCCTACTGTTCACCATCACAGATAATCTGCTGCCATGGTCTATGCGGAAGACACACAACTGAATCTCAAAAACCTTTCACCATGCAACCCCAACAATCACTTATCAGCGGTCTGAGTGGAATTAAAACATGTTCAAACATGCTGTGCACCCTAAAGACCTACTGACACCTACTGAGATCCAACTAGTTTACATGGATGGTTGACCCATCTCACCACCCAGCAATGTTTGCAACCTAGATGTAGATCTACGTTCCATTGAACAAATAACTGCACAATCTGACATTTCAAAAATAAATTCACTTAATGGAAACATGCAAATTAAAAAAAAAAAAAAAAAAAAACTTTGACGAAATGTTTTGGCACTACGATGAGGTGTTTTTTGGGACTATCAAAATGAGTTCATTTCACAAAACTGCAATGGAAACACTTTTTTGCATCACACGAGTCATGTTACCAACAACCAGGATGTTTCCACTGACAAAAACCACAAAGAAGAAAACAGCAGGAAGTAGTTGGTGGATCATGGTGCAACATGTTTTTTAATGACTTATTGTGTGAACAAATTTATTCACTTGATTTTAAATGTGTTACTTATTTAATGCAATAGGAGAAATATTATATATAATATATATAATATTTAACTTATTTAATGGAAACCAGATTCAGCAGGTCCAAAGCTCAGCTGCTAGTCGACTAACACACACTAAGCCTTATCAACATATCACCCCATCTCCCAAATCTCCACCGGCTGCCTGCCAAATACCACATCACTTACAAGATCTTCTCACCTGCAAATTCCTCAGTGTCCAAGACCTTCTTCAATTAAACACACTTAGTCAGACACAACAGTTCTCAGCTATGTGTCTGTTTTCTGTCGCTTGCACGAACCTCTCTCCCATCTAAGTTACAAGATGCTCTTCAAAACATTGTTTGACTTTACCTCTTGAGTTTAATTATGCATTCTATGTAAAACATCCCTGAGTTTCTTGAAAGACACTATGTAGATCTTAGGTATCACTGTTCTTATTACTATACAGTTTATATAAAGTAGCATGACTAAGTTGACGTTATTTAGCATTTTATTTAATCATACAAAATGATTTGTGATTGGTTTACAAAAGCAGTCATGATTAGGGTGTTTTTGTGGAGTACGTGCAGTATGACACAGGTGTTTTGTACTTCTCAGGTTATTTTTTTTAACATTGACCAGGTTTCCTTTATGTGATGTAGTTGCTTTAAGCTAAGTGCGTTTGCCCTTTGATTTGATTTGATTTTTTATTTTGCATACAGTAAACACGAGACTGCTGACATTTAGCATGAGACATGTTTTAAATAAATTATTTGACACACAAAGTTTGAAATGGTTGTGTCTGTCACTGTCTGTCACTGTTGCGTATAATGTATTGTCACATTCTGAGCCTGCCTGAGGTATAATTATTAAACTTTGTGTGTTGATCCCATGGCGAGTTTGAGGCCAAAAGAACCACAATTAGAATTTACAGCTGAATTTGAATCCTATCTTTACTCGAGTTTTACATTATTTACAGATTCAAGAACCAACATATGAGTAAACTCAAACACACTATCATCCTGATTGGTTGCAGAACAGCCCTCAAATATCTGTTAGTCCTTACACAACCTTGTGCTGGTCCTGGTGACATGTATCTTTTGCATAATTGAATTGTGACCAGGTCTGAGTTTAAAAAAATAAAATAAAATTGAGCTAAACTTATTTGTTTTTTGTTTTTTTCTGAAACATGTAACATTAATTTTTTTGTAAATATGTACAGGAAACTTTATTTAACTAGTCCATTGGTAGTAGAAAATGTTTCAGGTTGGTTACAGAAAAACAGTTGGAAATACATGAAGAAACTGCTCCTCAAGCTAAAAAATATGTGTAAGAAATGCAGACATAATTGAGCAGCCGAGTTCAGTAACTGATGGTATCAGTTACTGATACCTGATACACTGTTAACTTTTACACTCCAGTAAAAGTTAACAGTGTAACTTTACCTCACCTTTACCTTATCTTTTTAATGAAAAAAGATAAGGTAAAATTAAAAAGATAAATTTAAAAATGAAATTTAAAAACCATTAGGTCATCAAACAAATCAAAATGTTCTATGGTTTTGATTAGCTTAGCTGGAACCGGGCCCCCAAATGAGATTCACCATCAGGACTTCATACAACATTTGGCCGCCCGTGGCCATGTGCGGGCTGTGCACGAATGAACTGCCAGTGGGGTTGCCAGGTTTAGATATAATCCCGTAAATATCAAACATTAATTTTGATATTGATAAAATTCTGCCAACAAAATTTTATCTGTTGGCAGTTTGAAAAATACACGTATGTCCAGTTAGTAGCTTCTTTGGGTTTATTCATTTGTAGAAATCTATCCTCCAGGTTTGCAATAACATAAAGAACGGAGGATATAATACAGAAAACTGGCAACCCGTACTACCATCTGTCACTCATTCTGTCATTGGGCAGGACACTGTTTCATGATAGCACCAATATTCAGCTAGCAGCTAATAAGTAAGGTAAAAGGGGAAACCAGGAGGCATGGGCTCGGGGGAGAGTACGACCAGGAAAGTATCCTTCGGCGTGGATGATGAAGACAGAGTCAGGATTCTCCGCGGGATAAAGGTAATGCTAATTTAGCTAGCGTCCGATAAGTCATGCTAACGATATTTAATGCTGGCCAGCTGGAAAGCTTGTTGCTCCAGAGCACATACACAATAAACCCTCAGACTGTGGGGAACGTCAGGTGCACCACCTGTGAAGGAGGATGGAGGAGCTACGGAGGCGGTGGAACAGCTTGATTCACGAGCCCTGGAGGGTCACTTTTCCTTTTCGCCAGACTTCATTGGATACAAGAGGGCCGTAGCAGTTCAACGCAATTATTCGCAAACTCATTAACGTAGCCGATGGCCAATTCAATGTGGAAATATGTAAGGTATTTAGATAACATCAGCTTAAAAACTTTCTATCTAGACTAATGTGCTTTATTTTCTTATGACACCTTATTACTTTGAGCGTTGTAGTACATTTACTAATTATGATGCGAAATGAACGTAAAGTACAGTCACTGTTGTAGATGAACTTGCGTGCTGCATTGCTGTTTTGTCATGAATTCATCAGAGAAGTAAATATCATCACAGCCTGTTTTGTATTTCTTTTGAGGGCTTAAAATGATTAGTTTTTGAATGGAGTTTGGTGAGAGGCTATAAAGCATAGCAGTGCTGCATTCGAGGGCATGTCGGAATTTTATATTATAATTAACCAGACGTAAGAAGGGACGGGATATTTTTGTGGTACATTATGGCAAGACGTTTGGACAATGTAAAATGTGCCATTTTTCCTTTTTGTAGCTTTGTACGTCTATATTCATGTTTTAAACGTTTCTTTTGGTTTACCAAAGGAGACTAAATATTTCACGTGTTCCAGTCATATTTATGCAAATACCTTTTTTAATGTAACTACTTTTTTGTTTTTTTTTTTAAATATGCTTTATTTTTTATTTATTTTTTGCTTTGACAACAAATGTAAGTTTATTCTTTTGTTCCCTGACATCTTCCATCCAATTTGTGAACTCACAAGCATCTGCGACCAGAGTTTCTGTGCTGTTTTTGTCCAGCCAGAGTTTTCTTTTTGGGATTGTTTTCATGCATTCGTGGGATCACAGCAATTGCTGCATTAATATTTGATGATTGTTTTTAAGACTTATTTCAGAATTTAGACTCACAATGTGCTGGAATTAAAAGATTCTAACTTTTTCAGGAGTTATGTTCTCTTAAGTTGTCAAAAAATGCCTGTCAAGATCTAAAAGTCACAGTGATAACTGTGTTTGCCAACTCTGGCAGCACATTCAGATTTAATGAGTCATAGAGTGTGTCAGTGAATGGTCCTGCCCTCTGTGGTTTTATGTGTAGCTATGTTTAACCATTTTCCATAGAAACATCCAAACGGCTGTATTAGTGGGACCTGATCCTGTATTTTCAGATTTAAATTGCTCTTACCTGTTTCTGTTGAATAAATCTACACCAAATTTTGTGTATTGTGTTCCATATTATTGTCTATTGATTAATATATGAAGTTGTTGATAGCCTGTCCATATCCAGCTCTTAAATGTCTCTTTCCCCTTGGCAGCTGTCAGAGGATGTTCTCCAGAGGATGAGAGGAGTGGCTAACATTCCTCCAGAATCCTCATCTTCAGCCACAAGTCCTCAGAAAGAAAAAGGTAAAAATTTGACTTTAACTGGTCATTAGCAAATTATCATATCTGAACTTTACTCTCTTGTTGATGTTGAACTTTAAAATGGAAAAACTTCAGTGTTCCGATCATTTCTAATTATAGCATGAAGAAGCAGAGTGTGTTACAGTCAGTAACAGACTCCTAAAAACACATGCACACGCCTACACACACACACACGCACGCTTGGTAAGGAGGAGGGATTACTACAAAGTCTAGACCAGAGATGGGCAACTCCAGGCCTCAAGGACCGGTCTCCTGCAACTTTTAGATGCATCTCAACTTCAACACACCTGAGTCAAATAATGAGGTCATCATCAGGACTCTGGAGAACTTGACTGCATTTGGGAGGTGATTCAGCTATTGGATCTAAGTGTGTTGGACCAGGGAGACATCTAAGAGTTGCAGGACACCGGCCCTCGAGGACCAGGATTGCCCACCACTGGTCTAGACTCAGTGCAATTGGCTAGCTTCCTCAGATCAATGTTTTTTTTTTTTTTTTTTAACAATTAGAATTTTATGATCAGCTGAAACATCTGGATTGATTCAAACACAATTTAGACCACATTGTCTTGAAAGTGGCATGTAATGATATTTGCTGTGAATTTTTAAATATTTTTACATTTTTAAATTGAATGCAAAGAATTTTTTGACGCCATGCCGTCGCATGGCTTGGTCCTTCATCCATTGCACTGTTTATAGGAGGGATCATTCCTGTTCTGTTTCTGTTCTCCTTTTTCTTTTTTCTTGTCTGATAAGTTGCTAAATACAGCAACTAAATCACTAAGTTGGAAGCAGTGGAGTGACTCGTGACCAGGCGTGTGTAGTTGTCACCTTTTAGACAGGTTTGTCAGTCAGATTTATCGGTTTACCTCTCCTGGAAAGAATTCATCATAGCCCGTTCTTTTGTATGTTATGCTGTACATTTAAAGTTGCATTCCTGCTGGAAGGTGAATCTCTGCCTTAGTTTCAAGTTGTTTACATCCTCTGACAGCAGTGGAGTCCAAACTTTGTCGTGCGGGCCAAAATTGTCAAGTCAAAACGACTTGTGGACCAAAAAGAAATCTGAAACTCCAAAAAAATTTGCATTCACCCCCCCACTTCTCAACAATACATTCTAATTAAACAAATAAAGAAGTTATTTTTTTAGGAAAGGAAATTTTAATGATTGCATATCCAAAACGTAAAGAGTTTTTAATGCTGTTTAAAAAAGACATCCAGTTTGCAAATTCTTTTGGGCTGAGATAAAAAATATGGAAACCATTCAGACTATTCTCAGCAATAACAACAGGATTTGGATCACTCTGTCTCTAAAATACTAGCTGTATTAAGTAAGGATTAATACATTAAATAAAGGCAGATTTGAGTTTTGTAAAGTCTGTTCCTCAGTAGAAGTCAAATGACAAATGTAGTTCTATTTACTATGAGATGAAAGAGAAATCAGAAAGTGTGGTTGTTAAAAGTCAAATACTTTGTACTTAATATTTTCCGTTATAGTCAATTTAAATTTGTAATCATTTTGCTCTGATTGAATGTGCATCTGATGGTCTCCCCTACTATCTAAAAAAATAAAATAAGTTGGTTAAAAGGCCTCAATTACTGACCAGTGTTTTGGTGATTAACATTGAAGCCTGGAAAGTAAAAGATATTTTTAATCAAATGCCAATATTAAATCTAAAAGGGGTTTCAGAGTTAAATATGAAAAAAGCCAGTCATATTTATAATATGAATTATGAATATGAATTATAAATATGAATCATGCTCTTCAAGATGTAGAAGAGCTTAAGAGGAAGTACTGCATTGCTGTATTGTCACCGTTTCTCATATAAAATGTTTGGCTTTGTGACCAGGTGCCTCTCGCAGTGCCAGCTCAGCCTCTCAGGCCCCGAGCCCCCCTCACTGGGCCCCGCCCAGCAGCAAGTCTGGGAAGACATTCGCTAAAGATGAACAGAGAAGGTAGGTAAGACGGTCAAATCCAAAACTCATTTATTTCTGGCACACAAATGCAGCATTGACGATCACATTTAGCTTTATGTATTGTAACTACCTCACTTATTAGTTGGCTAGAGGAGATAATGATGTCTTCTATGTAGTCTGCAGTCAGTAACTTATGACTAGACAATTTTTCTCCTATTACAAATGAAATAATCTGCCAATTGAACTAGTTGTTTTTTCATCAATAATAATAAGATATGTAATCCTCTTATTTTACTCCTATACCTTGCTGGATGGTTACTTTTAACTTAGTTTTGTCTTAATTTAACTGTACTAAGCTAATTGCACTAGAAACTAGACCAACAATCCTTGGTAAGATTTTCTGCTTTTGCAGTGTACCTATTGTTGTTATTGACATTTTCTGTTCCTTGATAAATTATTGAAGTAGTTTTGTTGCCTGGCGCTGGTCACTGCATCTAATGGGAAAATTGATAGGGGTGCAGATGTCAAATGCAGACTAGAACTATATGGAATATTTCCATCTTTAAACCAATCTGGACAAATACTTAGGGAAATGAATAATATTCAATTTGTGGTTATGCATATAAAGCTTGACCACTGTAGAAATATTGTCCATTCCTTAATTCATTTTACTTTTTAGTTATTTGTTATTTTAATTTTAATTTACTACACTATAACTAGTTACACCTTTGAAAAAAACTCACAAATGGCCTGAACTGTGAATATTTGACTTGTGGAGACATCTCAGCCAATTTAGTGTAACAATAACACTCAAATGGTTGAGTGGAACACTTGCCAGATCGTAAGAAAATGGAGCCTTTTCTGCAATAATTTATGATTCATGTTGTCATTTTTTTAGGTATGAGCTGCAGCAGACGATACTGAAGGATAGGCTGGCCAAGATGGCGGAAAGAGAGAGGGAGGCAGTGAGAGAGGAGCTGGTTAAAACCATGAGCCGAGAACGACAACAAGCACGAAAGGAAGCAGAGAAGGCCAAAGAATTGGTACACATACACACACACGCACATCAAGCTCACAATGTCTCTCTCTTTGTTGGACACACCTTCTCAATCACATCACAGTACCCAAAGCCCATCCTCCTGAGAAATCTTTCCCTTAGTGAAATCTGTCTTAGAATAATTCCTTACGCAGAAGATAAAAGAATTTGAACATTTGACACAGATCCTCTCTGTCCAGTCAGGCTGAGTTTGAGACTTTTTTTTTTTTTTTTTTAAAAAGGTTTTGTTGGCTCTAGTGGCCTTTATTTGAAAGTAGTTCGACAGGAAAGAGGGTAATGAGAGAGAATGAAGACATGCGGCAAATTTCACCAGCCCGGTAATCGAACCTGCGGCTACCGTCACAAGGACTAAGACCAACATACGTGGGTCGTACTTTGCCCCTGTGCCACCACAGCACCCTGTTTGAGCCTTTTTTAATGGGAATGGACAGAAATGTTAGACTCTTTATATATAAAGCTGATCTTTAGTTATAAAAATGTTAAAATGTATTATTTTCTTTCGCCTTCATTGTTCTGCATTATTTTGCCTTATTGTTTTATGAAATTTTAAATCAGGGTCGAAGGAGATCGGCGGCAATAACGAAACCAAACGCTGTTTCTGCTAGAATTAAATGTGCTCGATTTATTTCCCCACAGATTACAGCAAAATAACATGCATCAAACACTGTTACTGCTAGAACAAATATGCTCGATTTATTCCCCACAGAATACAGTACAAAACACTCTATGACTAAACACGTGATGCTCGATTCATTCAAGTTACCAGCGCTTACCTCGTGAAACTTGGCCGGAGAGCCTTCGGCCTAGAGATAAGCAGTAGCATCAACGTAGCTGGGCATTCGGACGCGATCCACAGCAGACTCTGACCAAAACCGCGGGCTTTTTCGTATTTTATCTCTTAAACAAAGGGATGTCTGCGTGCGTGCAAAGGGGGAGTGGCCATCTCCATCCTTGCAGGCGAGCCATCCACTCAGAGGTAGCCGCTCTCCGACCATGAGCCAATCATGGGCTGAGAGCGTGAACCAGCAGACCAATCAGAGCCCAACCCAAGTCAACCAGAGCCAAGCACGCCCTGTTCACGTGATCTGCATGAGCATGCAGCATGTTCAATTTGCATAATACATTGAGCAGAATAAGTTTTATAAAGAACAATACCCTGAGCAGTTTTATCAAAGAATGAATAATAAATGAATGATTATCAAAGAACATAAAAGATAATAAAAAGATAATAAAAAGATAAAAATACAAAATACCAGATCACTTATCCTGTAAAACACCATACAGTTCAATTAAAAATACTTCTATAACCCAGAAAGAAATTAACTTAATCAGATTTCATAATGATTGAGATGATCTGTGTGTTATTTCAGTTTCTATAGAAACAGCAGTCTTAGTTTTGAGAAAAACATAAGAAGCAGAAGGTACTTGTTGTCTTTTATGGTGCAACAATCAAAACTTCCCATTGACATTAATTCTCCAGTATTTTAAGATTTTCAGGTAAAGTGCATTATAAATAAAATATTATTATTAATATTATAATCTAACATCACCACATTCAGTTGGAAATTACATGTTTGTGAATGTGATGGATTTCATCCTAGAACAATCACAGAGGTAACCTGTAGGGGGAGCTGTTGTCTTTAATTTGCAGGAATGCGTTTTTAGTTTCTGTTCTCCTTTTTCTTTTTTTCTTTTTCACTTTTTGTCTTCAGATTCAAGGTTTTGCAAGAGTTCAGTGGTGTAACTGTTTTAAAAAAAAACTAATTAACTTGAGTGTCTGTGAGTCGGAGGAGATATGTTTTTGTGGAGTCAAGTCATGATTCAGTTTGCTGGGTTTTTTTTTTGTTGCTCCAGCCAAATCGCACATTGGAGTGTTTTGTACTGACACAAATTGCTTCTCGGGTTTGCATTTGTAATTTCCATGGTGATGCTCGCTCTGCCTCACTCCTCTCTTCTTATCCTCACCTATTACCTCCCTGTTTCTTTTCCATCTCGTCCTCTTCACTGTTCTGCCTTCCTCATCTTTTTGCTTTTCTGTCTTTCTTTCTCTCAGCTTCCCACTCCCTCCCTCCTTACCACCTCCATCTCCCTCTGTCTTTTTTTTTTCTGTTTTCTATCCCAGCCCATCATTCTCTCCTTTCTGCCCTGGAGACAGTATTATCAGCGAAGTGCACGCGGTAAATTGCACCCTGAGAGTTTCCTGGGGTTGCAGATAGGAGTGGGGCAGCCTTGGAATTGTAGTTGTGGAAAGGGGAGAGCTTGTTGTACATACCAGTTGGTGCCTTCATGCGACTCTCTCGCTCCCCTACTTCCACCCCCACCCTCTGTGTTAAGACGTGCTGTAGTGCTCGTCTTATCTTCACTCCAACATACTCCTACTTCTAATAAAAAGCCTGCTGGAGGGACGGCGTGAGCAGAATGACCGGTTGTGCGGGACTGGACGTCCTTATGCTAAGAGCTCCTTGTAATTACTTTGTCTGGTGCCATGAATGCATATATGACATGTGGGTAGATTTTCTTTCTTTCATATTTTTAACTCATTTTTTATGAAGCCGGTAGCAGATCAGAAAGCATTTGTCCTCTGGAGATCCAGTCTCACAAATCGGATCCTTTAAATCCAAGACAAACTCAAGAAAGTAGAATTTTGCTTTCTCTTCCAGAGTTTCAAGAACAAAATTGCATCATTATGTTGTTTCAAATCCTGATTTTGAAGTTCAGGATGGTCTTGGGTTATAATCTGCACAGAACCTTTTTCCATGTGTGCTGTATGAGAACAACGGGACAGAACCGATGAAGACTTCTTAATAGTTCTGCACTTGAGTTTTTGTGAAATATGAAATGTCTTGCTCAGAAAGAAGAAATTTGTCTGTCTGTGAGTGGTATTTATTTATTTGTTTGTTGTTTTCTTATCTCTTTAGAAGAGTTATGTCTTTAAAATTACAACACATCTAGGAAGTATGCAGTGCTTCCCTTTTTCCACATTTTATGTACATGTTATAAACTGTTTGCTCAAAATTGTAAAAAAAAATAAATAAATCTACACATAAATACACTGCTCAAAAAAATAAAGGGAACACTCAAATAACACATCCTAGATCTGAATAAATGAAATATTCTCATTGAATACTTTGTTCTGTATAAAGTTGAATGTGCTGACAACAAAATCACACAAAAATCATCAATGGAAATCAAATTTATTAACCAATGGAGGCCTGGATTTGGAGCCACACACAAAATTAAAGTGAAATGTTCCCTTTATTTTTTTTGAGCAGTATATATCCTCACCTATGAAGTTTTATTTTAGTGATGTGTAACTTTGAGTGCTGAATCCATGAAACATGCTGGAGCAAATCCACTCATGAGAGAAGGCTTCAGACTTTTACATGAGAAGCGTCAGTAAGACTTTTCTGTCCAGTTTCCAAAGTGTGTTCAGAGTTTTATTAGCCTGTCATGGGCCAGTTACTTGTCTCAAGGTTTACCACGGTTTTAAGAACTTGCTATCTTAAAAACCTTAAAAATGTTCTGTCATGTAGTTCCTGTGGTTTAAAGACCCTTTAATAAAATCCTAGAGAAAGTTTTGGAGCTTGGAGTAGTCACCGATCTGTTCCCTGTCTTGGCCCACTTGCACTCATTTCTCATTCACACGAAAAGCAGCTGTCTTCTTCGAAAGTTATGTGCCGAGAGCTAAATTATACTGCTTACTTCTGTTATTGTCATCACACTCCTTTAAAGGTAAAGTTGGGATTCTGAAAACCTAGCAGGATGCAGGCTAGCTAGCAAAGCCTGACTAATTAGCCTGCTAATGTTAGCTTTCCGTGTTGCTCTGTGAGCAGCAGCACTAACAGTCAGCTGTTATAGTTAGCCACAGAAACTGGACATTTTACTCAAGGTTATCATATCTCATGGCTAACATTAGCAAGTATTGCAGCAACTAGCACTATAAGCTAAAGAGAATGGCCTTTATGTGTTCCCTAGAAAATGTGGGCAACTTATGCTGAGATCCCCTAAAGGCTGCCAACATTTATTTATTTATTTTTTTAATTTTATTTTAAGTTTCCAAAGTTTAGAACATACAGTTAAAAAGACAAAACAAAGCCCAGATGCACAGGTCAAAGCATAAAACATTGCAGTTGACATATATACCCACACAGCACATATACATAGTCACATACAAGGGTACACATACATAGGGGGGCGACAGAGGGGAGAGACCATAGAAGGATTTGATCAGCTTAGTCTGATCTTCGAAAAGTGTTCCAAGAAGGGAGTCCAGTAACATGAGAAAGTGTCTTTAGAGTCTTTCCGAAGTCTCTCCATTTGTATCATGGACATCATGTCCGTCACCCACAGGTGGAAGGAAGGAGGAGCAGAGGACCTCCAGTTTCTTAAGATTAGTCTCTTGGCAATAATCGGTCCCAGATCCAATGGCTGCCGCATTGCAGCAGGTACAGACCCGGGCACCCGAGGGCATCCAAAGATTATAAGTCCTGGTTCAGGTTGTAAGAGAGTCTCATATGCCTTGGAATACCAATCAAATATTTTTGACCAAAGACCAGTTAGCAAAAAGTTAGCTTTTTGGTCTTTTTGGACAAGACCAAAAAGCATGAGACAGTGTGCCTTCAGACATGTTACACCTGTCACACATTGGAGAGACAGAGGGGTAAATCTTGTGCAATCTGACCTTTGAATAGTGTAACCGATGTGTGATTTTAAACTGAATGGTAACACTTTATTTGAAGGGGGTTGAATAAGACTGACATGACACTTTCATAAACATGACATAACACCTGTCATGAACATGAATAAGTCTTTATGAATATTTATGACTGTTGTCATAAAGCGTCATTCGGTAAATTGTGACACTTTTAATACAAAGTTGACATTATTCAAAATGTCTTTATGACAACTTGACATTAACCAGGAAATCATTACTGTTTAAACTTTAGCTTTAATAACATAAAGTTACCTAATTATTAAAGTGCAATC